AACTCCAAAACCCAGAAAGATGAAACAACTTGGCCAAAGACGTATGCTAATAAGTGACAGATTTAGGACTTGAATCATGATGGTCTTGACCAGAGTTTGGAAAAGTTTTCCTATAAAGAGCCACACAGTAAATATCTTAGGCTTTGCACACTATGCAGTTTCTGTCACAGATATTCAGCTCTACCACTGTGGTGCGGAAGGATCCACAGACTTAGACAAATGAGCACGGTTGTGTTCCAATAAAGCTTTCTTTAGAAAACAAACAGCAGGTCCATTATGGCCCACTGGCCACAGTATGTCCACCATGGTCTTAACTGCTATATTAAAAGCATGAGGACCCAGAATCATCAAAGTGCTCTGAGAAATTTTTAAAAAAATAATAATTGCGAACAAAATGTGAGACAATTGTCTGGCCTTTTCAATGTGAGATGGCATACAACTCATTCAGTGTTAGTGCAATATTATTTATTAAAGGCATACTGTGTGGGGACACCTGGGTGGCTCAGTTGGTTAAGCAGCTGACTTCAGCTCAGATCATGATCTCACAGTTTGTGGGTTCGAGCCTCATGTCAGGCTCTATGCTGATAGTTCAGAGCCTGGAGTCTGCTTCAGATTCTGTGTGTCTCTCTCTCTTTGCCCCTCCTCTGCTCCTGCTCTGTCTCTCTGTGTCTCAAAAGTGAATACATGTTTAAAAAAAAATTTTTTTAAGGCACACTGTATACCAGGCTCCCCTAAATTGCTTGGAATACACTAATGAACAAAGTAGACAGGAAACAGCTCCCTTGTATGAGTTTATCTTCTGGCAGAGTTCTGGGGGGGGGGGGCTGATAAATAATACCCATAACACACAGCTGAATTATACAATGTGTTAACAGATGGTGAGTGCTGTGGAAAGAAATAGAGCATGGTAAGGGGAGTGTGGCAGCAGGAGAGGAAGGCATAAGATGATGAGTATAGGTCTCACAGAAAAGGTGAGCCTATTTTAGCCTATTTTAGCAAAAGATGTAAGGGAGTGAGCCATGCTCATATCTTGGAGGTGTTCCCAGGCAGAGAGAATAGCTGGTGGAAAGACCCTGAGCCAGGACTGTGCTTAGCTTGTTCAAGAAACAGCAAGAGGTCCCTGTGGCTTGCACAGTATGATGAAAGAAGGTGGTCAAGAGTTAATGAAAGCCTGGTTTTATGGGGCCTGGGAGCGTGGTGGGGACTTGCCTCTTATTCTCAGAGACTCAGGGAGCAGAAAAGTGTCATGATCTGAGCCTGACTGTAGAAGGCTCCCTTTGAAGGCTGTGTTGTATCTTGAGGTCAATAGCTTGAGATGTAGTTTTCCTGGATTTGGCTCTGACCAATACTAATTATTGGTTGCATATGAGGCAATATAATTAACCTTTCTGTGCTTGGTTTCCACATCCATGAAACAGAGATAATAACAGCATTTACAACACAGGGCAGTTATGAGCATAAAATGGGAAAGTGCTCATGAAATAGGAAAGAAAACCCACTACACATAATTCTAGAGACATAGTGAACACCAAATGAATACTGGTTATTTTAAATTATTGTTAAATGTATCTCCCTAATAAAAAAATCACTACTTTACTGTACTAAACTGCTTCTGAATGTGTCCTTACACAAGGTTGTCCCTTGTGCTGTTTGATTCCTCAACTCTACAGCAAGAGTAGGAGCCACACCCACCTCTGGGACACTGCCACTCTCGCACAGGTGGTGAGAATCACTATGGGCAAACATTGCCCCTCTGCAGACTGGGGAAGCTTCTGGGGCAACCTCTGTGGTCATATAAAGTCCATGAAGACTTGAGATGGTTCCTAAAAAAGGAGGACACCCACTGAAGACTAAGACAATGAAAAGAGAACAGGAACAGAAATGCCCCATAGTGATGGCAAAGTGTATTAGTCACCTATTACTGTGTAACAAATTAATCCAGAACTTAGTGGCATCTTAAAACAGCAAGCATTATTCCACACAGGTTCTCGGAATCAGGAATCAGAAGAGTGGCACTATCTGGGTCTGGCTCAGGGCTTCCCATGAAACTGCAGTCCAGATGCCAGCAGGGCTGCCTCTTCTGAAGGCTGGAATGGATCCGTGGGGCCTGTTCTAAGATTGCTCACACATAGCTTTTGTCAGGAGGCCTCAGTTCCCCACCATATGGGCCTCTCCACAGGCTGCTGGAGTGTCCTCCTGACATGGCAGCTGGCTCCCCCCAGGGGAGAGAGCCAAGAAAGATCAAGAAGAAGTTACAATGCCTTTTGTGATCTAGCCTCAGATGTGACACACTGTCACTTCCACCAGGTAGTATATTCTTTAAAAGTAAGCCACTAAGTCCAGCCCACACTTGAAAGAAAATTAAGCTTCACCTGTTAAATGGTAGAGTATCAAAGAATTTGTGGACAGATTTTAAAACCACCACACATGATGCGTGACTTGGGACAAAATAACATTGCCTTAGGTATTACCAGTTTAATTTTCAAAAAGTCCAAAATATAACTCTCATACAAACTCAGTGAGCATGTGCCAAAGACTTACTATTGTTCATAAATGGAGGAACCAGCAGGATGGTAAAACTGATTCAAAAGATATGATCAATCAGGAAAGAAATGGTGGAATGAGTTGACTGACTTAGATTAAAACAACAACAACAACAACAACAACAACCTGCCTAATGAATTGCAAGGCAATAAAACTGCACCCTTTGGGGCTATCTTTTTCATCAGGCAGAAATGATTTGCAATTTATCCCTCTCTTCCTAGTTTACATCTAACTTCACAGAATCTGATATCTACTCCACCATCAAGTCAAGCAAAGGCATCCGTTTCCTGAAGAATTGAGTAATCGCTGTTGGAGCCTGTTCGATGATGCTCCAATGCAACATTGAAAGCACTTGTGGCTGCCATTTTGTCTTATTTTCAAGTTTGAAGAACTTAACTTTCTTAAAGGGGGTTCATTTTATTTTTTTTATTTTCACCATCTTAGCTCCTTCATTCACCTCTCCATCCATTCATCCTGTACCCATCACCATGAAACATATTCCGGAGCAAATACAGCTGGCAGAAACATCCCCCTGCACCCTCAGCAAGTCATCCCATCTGGAAGGGGACAGTCATACACTGGTATCATTTCATATTAGTCAGAATGAAGACAGAGCTTTTGAAGCTCCACACACGTCTTGTGGGCACGTAGGTGCAATTCACTGGGGTCAGAGGATCAGAGCCACGGGGAAGTTGGTGTTTTACTTTGTCAGATGATGCAATGTGTACTTCTCTATAATCATTTTACAGAGGAAAGCATCTCTGCTTAAACCCATTTTGCTGATAGGACAACACCTTCTGGAGTTCCCTTTTGGTTTTGTTCTTTTTTTTGTTTTTGCAGTTATTTCAGTGTCATTTCCATTTGGTCCATTTAATGATTTTTTAAAAATTATGGAAAGTGTTTATCACATTAGAAAAATTTGATGTTTTATTCATTCTTGAATGCTTTAGGGACTTTTTAGTCTATAATCTGGAACAATTTCTTTAACATTTATACCTTAACAATAAATTGCTATGAATGGCACTCAAGATGTAATTAAATTGTTATTATGCACTGCCCTCTACCTTTAATTCAGACCCATCACAGGGAATGTATGGAGGTATTGAAATTCCATGAATTGTGACCCAATCGCATTTTATTTTGCCAGTTAGGTACTGGAGAAAGATTAATCACAGATGACATGAGCTAGATTTTACTTTCTGAGGAAATAATCAAACACACAAGCAAAGATGCTGATGCCAAGAAGTTGGTCACAACATGATTTTCAAGCAAATAGTAATAGACTAATAATAATTGATTGCTATCCATAAATGATGCTGCATCTATACAATGAATGTATGCAGCTATTCAATGCTATATTGTTCATATTTGGTATGGGAAGGTATTCTGCTATTTGCTATATGAAAAAGGCAAGTTGAATCGAGTGTACATTTCTGTGAGGCACTGTTGACACTTATGTGTGTATGTACACAGAGGAAAAGTGTTGTCATTGGCTTTCTTTTTTTTTTTTTTAAATGTTTTATTTATTTCTAGAGAGAAAGAGAGACAGCGCGAGCAGGGGAGGGTCAGAGAGAGAGGGAGTCACAGACTGAAACAGGCTCCAGGCTCTGAGCTGGCAGTCAGCACAAAGCCCAACGCGGGGCTGGAACCCACAAACCGCGAGATCATGACCTAAGCAAAAGTCGGAAGCTTAACGACTAAGCCACCCAGGCGCCCCTGTCATTGGCTTTCTGATGGCACGCTCACAGAACACAAGTATTCACTTTTTTTTTCTGATCTAGATTTTCAGGTTTTTCTACAATGAGTATGTAGACTAAACATTGCCTACGGAGGAAAACCCCACCTCCAGCATTTTCCTTAGGCCTGGCAAAGTCAGGAAGGAAGGAAGGAAGGAAGGAAGGAAGGAAGGAAGGAAGGAAGGAAGGAAGGAAGGAAGGAAGGAAGGATGGAGGTAGGGGGGTTTGTTCTAAAATCTGTTTGTCTGGGGGCTATCTGCGCTGAAGCCTTGTGTCTGGAAGCACCTGAGGTCCAGATGCTGAGTGCTCTGGAAGCCTGGAAAGCCTCAGGGAAGTTCCTTAGAATTCCTAAGACGATCTCTGAACCTTCCTTCCCTGGGAGAGGTAAGAACAGCAGGTGTTTCTGGAGGCTTAGGGTGGTGTGAAATACCTCCTCCTAGCTTGTGGCAGTTTCAGGGGCTCCTCCCTCGTGCATTATTAAAAGGGTTGTGGCATCTCAGAGGAGCAGGCAGATACCACCGGCTCTGCCAGGAGAAAGGAGCATTCTGAGGTGTCCTTTGGGGAGCTGGGCTTCATTCTCCCCAATCCTGACCCCAGACCTGGAATTCCCTACTCTGTGGGGGATGTTCCCATGCTGAGGGAGTGGGGTCAGAACGCTGCTTGCTACCCAGGCCCCTGCCAGCTCGACCTCTATTTCCACCTAAGATTCTGTGTTATTTTAAAATAAGAGAGTCTACACACTGTGCAACTCAAGATGGTCCTGAGTGGGGCGCTCTGCTTTCGGTGAGTATCTGAGCCTCTGATTGGCCGGGTCCTCTGGGGGGAAGTTAAGTGCCAGGTAGACCTGTTGTCAATCCTTTCCGGGTAGGGAGGGGCTGCGGCTGCTCTGAGCATAGGCGGGTGTGCAGCGGGGAAGTTGTGAACAGTCCCTCACTGGCCTAAGGAAAGTTTTTCCAGCCTTTGTCAGGCTGAGGATGGCCACCTCATGGGGGTTCCCTGATGAGAAGGGGAGCAAGTGAATCACTCTGTGTCGAGCCGCGGCCTCATGTATCCATAATGGGAATGGAAGTCAGGAGACCCAGCTTGGAGCTGTTACTGAATTAATGGGAAACATTATGGGGTGAATTAATGTCTGTCCAGCCACTCTGCTCTGCTACCTCCTTGCTGCCCTTTGGGGCAGAACTAGTCAGTCAGTCTTCTGTCTGCTGGCATGTACCAAGTCAGGCAGTCTGCTGTGTTCTGGACTTTGCAATTGTGAGCACAAGTGGTCCCTGCTCTCTCTGAACTGGGAGTCTTAGCTTTTCCCAAAGTATGTTCAGTGGAACCCCGATCCCATGAGTTACTTGATACAGTGATGCACCTTGAGCAAGAAATGTGTGAAATACTGCCTTCTCTGTCTCCTTATGAGAGAACCACGGCATAATTCAGCATGTTAGCAGCTCTGAAGTACAGATTTGTTTGCATTTAGCCACCATGGGACCAATCTGCACACAGCAGACTTATTTCCATATAATAGCTGAAGAAACCCACTTTAGGGTGTATTTTTTCACCTCATAGGATGTCAGAAAATCAACTGAGATCAGAGCTGAGAAATACATGTGAAAAGTAAAATGAAAGAGCTTCAAATTTAAAGATATTCCTCACTTAATAAGTGGAAGTAAATGTGCCTCGATGTCTTGATCGAGTGACTGAAGAATCAGATTTTCATCTGGAAAAAGGCCTGGGCATTATCTAACCCCTTGTCTTAATTTAGCAATTTAGCGAGTGAATAGTCAAGTGACTTGTCTATTGTGACCTGGGTGGCAAGACAGACAAGAACCCAGGACTCTGACTCACAGTCCAGTTTCTTTTCCACCATCACCCGTGGAGGGGATTGGTTGGTGTAGAAAAGACTGAGTAGGGTGAAGGGGCAAATTCAAGGCTCAGATGGGAGGCTGCGTTGCTGTCCCATTGGTAGGGTCTGATGAGCCCAGCAGGGCTGGGGAGAAGGTTGGGCTGTTACTTCTGGCACAGCGGGAGGGGGACAGCGGGACTCTGTAGAGCCCAGCAAGCCGGAGCACCCCCCTCCCCTAACTGTCATCCTGTCCTGATGTTTCAGAATGAAGGATGCAGAACTGAAGGTGCTTTATCTGCATGATAACCAGCTTCTAGCTGGAGGGCCGCACGCAGGGAATGTCATCAAAGGTTGGTGGCAAAACGTGACCCTACTTCCTTAGGGGTCACTCTGAGGGGACGGGGCCTGATGAGGGCTTAGAACAGCCGTGCAGACTGGCACAGACCTACAGACTCCAGGCCTGACACAGTAGATGGGCCATCATAAAAGCGGCCTCTGAACAAGGACAAATAAAACACTACACCTTCCAGCAAAGTGAGGACACATGCCCCAGTGCCACCTGAAGGCTATGCAAAGGTGGCAATATTTCCAAGATGAATGCTTTGTCCTTCCCTCGTAGGTGGAATTAGACCAAACATTCCTTTTGCTGGGAGCCAGTGCTGAGGAGAGATCTACAACAGGCTCTCCAGGGCCTTTATTCCCATGTGGGAGTGGGGTTCTGCCCCTTTACCCTGGGTCCCTTTACCCCTCTGCCCTCTGGGGATTCCTGGTCACTCAGAGCGGGGGATGCAGGTGGTAGGTGGGCTTACTCCTTCCACCTACACTGTGACAGATCTTCTCTCTAAAACAGCACACAGCTGCCCACTTGGGACACTTTTACAGGCTGTGTGTGTGTGCGTGTGTGTGCACGTGTGCATGCATACATGTGTGTGTATGTGAATGCATGTGTGTATGTGTTTGTATGAGTGGGGGTGGGATGGTATAGAGAAGAATGAGCCCCTCTTTTGTTCTCAGGAATCTCACAGGTGGTAGAAACATGTCCAAATAACCCTGATGAGAGTCTTATCCAATGAAGTTTCCAAAGAGAGGCATTCCAAAGAGGGTCAAGCGGCATTAAAGGAAGTGGTCAAATCCTCCTGGGGATTAGAGAAGACTTGAAAATCTGAGCCTGGACCAGGGGGTGGGCACAGGGTGGGAGGCGGCACAATGTGCTTATGTGCCCTGATGTCACTGGGCCAACTGACAGGAGACCACCCTTCCTTAGGTGACAGCTGCTAACAGACTTCCCTTCTGCTCAGTCTGGGGACAGGACATCTCATGCAGGTCCTGCTCTCCAAAGCCCGTGATGCGAGGAGAGGGAGGGAAGGGTAGCCAAGGCCTCTGCATCTGACTTCCTTTCTCTAGGTGAGGAGATCAGTGTTGTCCCCAATCGGTCTCTGGATGCCAGGCTCTCTCCAGTCATCCTGGGCGTCCAGGGAGGGAGCCAGTGCCTGTCATGTGGGACGGGGCAGGAACCAGCTCTGAAACTAGAGGTGAGTCTTGTTGGAGTGTCCTTGCTATCTGACCGCCCTAAACTAGCAGATGCTGAAGCACTGGGTTGGGTGTCCTGGGGCCCAAGCTCCTCTCCCTTGTGGGGTTCTGTTGATTGCAGCCCTGCCTCTCCGTGCCCCCGGCCCCACCCGCCTACCCCCTCCACTTCTTCCCCTCACCCGCCATGCCCTTCTGCTCCCAGCCAGTAAATATCATGGAGCTCTACCTCGGTACCAAGGAATCCAAGAGCTTCACCTTCTACCGACGGGACACAGGGCTCACCTCCAGTTTTGAGTCCGCTGCCTACCCAGGCTGGTTCCTCTGCACTATGCCCGCAGCAGACCAGCCTCTCAGACTCACCCAACTCTCAGAGGATGCCGGCTGGGATGGCCCCATCACGGACTTCTACTTCCAGCAGTGTGACTAGGGCAGTGTGCTCCCCAGAACTCCCTGGGCCGAGCCAGCTCAGGCAGGGATGAAGGTGGAGGACACTGACGGCAGCCACCTCCTCTGCTCTCAGGGACCCCACCTCTGGCTGGGCATTTGGCCACTCTCCTTTTTGGTTCCCAGTTTAGGTAAATCCTTCTGAGATTTGGGGCTTAGTCCACAGTTTCTTTCCCTGTTGATTGGTGCTGCTGTTGTGGGACCTTGCAAAAACCATATAAGATAAACGGGGAGCCACATAGAAGGTTCCTAAGGGGTCAGAGTGGAGCAAGCGGTAGAAATCCTTCATGCTTTATGGTAACTCACCCTGTACCCTTGAGCCCCACAGGCCAGCCCATCCCAAGTTGAGCCTATTAGGGCCACCAGTTGCCCACATGAGGTCCTGTCATTCACCATTGTGGAGGAGAGGGAAGTCATAGAGTTAGGGACCCAAGGCCCAGCCCCTTCGCTTTTCCCTTTAACTCAGCTGCCATTATATGCTACTTTGTCCATCCTATCCTCATGCTCTAACCATGCCAGGGGAGGGTGGTGGTGCCCGAGAAAGTGGCTCCAGCTCAGAAGGCTGAAGAATGGCCAGGCAGGCATGCCACACATTTTGAAACCCGAGATACCTTTAAAATCCAAGATGCTGGTCTCTACTCACATGGAAAGATTCTCATGGCATATTACATAAGAAGAGCAACTTACAAAGTAGCAGATCCTGTAATTTCATTTTAATTTTAAAAAATGCCTATCTATATATTTCTGCATAGAAAAAAGTCTGCAAGAGTTTACTTCAATTTTAGCAATGTCAGAGTGGTGGTATGACAGGGAGTTGTTCCTTTTGTTCTTTTATTTATTTGCATTTTCTATTGTTCTACAATGAAGATGGGTTCCTTGCGTAATAAGGAAGTTGATCTTGAGGAGGGCAGAGCCGACAATATTTCTGACTGTCCTCAGCATCCACTTCCTTGAGTAAAATTCAGATTGAATTGAGAGCAGCTGCTCTGGTCAGCAGTAGCAAGAATGAGAAAATGGACCTCAGCAGGGCTGACAGGGAAAAGAGTATGATGAGTTAGTGTGGTTGGAATCTCCTGGAGAAGGAATTTACAGAAAGAACCGTCCCTGGACCTGGAGTGGTCACAAGCCCCTGAGATTTCAAGGTGTGGTTTTCCACCTCCAAAGGGACCTGTGCTGGTTGAATTGTGTTCCCCCCAAATTCGTGTCCTTCTGGGAACCTTAGACCGTGACCTTATTTGGAGATACGTTCTTTGCAGATGCAATTAGTTAAGAGGTCATGCTGTATTTGTGTGTGTGGGAAGGGGGAAGGCTAGGGGAGTGGGCTCTAAATCCAACATGGCTGGTGTCCTTGCAAGCAGAGGAAAGGACAAACAGAGACCCAGAGGAGACCCAGGAAGAAGGCCATGTGAAGATGGGGGCAGAAGTTGCCCTCATGCAAAATAAGACAAAAACTGATGACTGAGGTAATCACCAGAAGTGAGGAAGAGGCAAAGAAGAATTCTTTCCAAACCCTTCAGGAGTATGGCTCTCTAGTCTCCTGAACTGTGACAGAACAAATTTTTGTAGCTTTAAACCGCCAACTTTGTGGTGATTGGTTGTGGCAGCCCTATGAAGTAACACAGCTGCCAATGACCCCATCTCACACCATGTATGTGTCCCCTCCCACATTGTACCTGCATTGCTCCTGTGATCAACAGAACATGGCAGAAATAATGTTGTGCCATTTATGAGATTTGATTATAAAAGGCTCTGTAGGTTTTATCTTGTTTTCCCTCTCTGTTGTTCACTTGCTCTGGGGGAAGTTAGCTGCCATGTCATAAGTAGCCCTGTAGAGAAACTCACGTGTTGAAAAATGAAGCCTCTTGCCAACTGCCACATGAGTTCATTTGGAAGTGGCTCCCCCAGCCCCAGTCAGGCCTTCAGATGAGGCAGCCCTGGAGACATCTTGATTGCCACCTCAGGAGAGACTGAAGAAGAACCACCTGGCTAAGCTGGTGTAGATTCCCAACCCGCAGAAACTGTGGGAAAACACATGTTTGTTGCTTTCAGCTGTCAAGTTTCAGGGTCACTTGTTACACAGCAATAGATAACAAATACACAGGGAAAGAGGAATAAATGCATTTATTTTATTATGATTGTAATTTTCTCCAGTATTTTCATTTTCCTTCTCAAAATCAACTTTGGCCCTTTAATTTCTCCAAACATTCTATGTATAACTGATCATGCTAAATTCAGAGAATATCATGCTGAATATTCTCTGCCCCTGCAGGTTTAGCTTTTCTTAGGTTACCTTTGCACCTCTAGTTTTACATGCCAGGGACTGTGACTCCGGTGTCCCTAACTAAACTCTGGGGGATGAAAACAGAAGCCAGAGGAGAGGAGAGGCTTTGAGTCCCAGGGATTCTGCCTGCACCTCACCGGTCAGACCAGCCTGGCAGGTTCAGATTCTGCTGAGGCACTGGCAAGGAGGTGGCCAAGCCAGAAACTTCTGTCTCCATGGAGCTGCTGAGGCTCAGACGCAGCTGACGCTCTCGGGCAGCAGACAGCACTAGTCCCACTGCGGGCCTCTCAGGAGGGCCGAGAACACAGGCTCTGGGCACCAGGCTTGTTTCTGCAGACCCAGTTCACACTCTATCTTTGCTCACAGGCCCAGCCATACTCTTACCTTGTCTCCTCCTCCAAGAAGCCTTTACTGAATTGAGGCATCTGGTCATCCACTCTGCCTGTGCTACCTTCTTATGTTAACTGCCCCTCATTATGATAATTGATTTGGGGTCTGTGGCCTCTGAAATGACCTCAAGGTCAATGCCGTATCAGTTTGTTCCCAAGCACCTCAAATAACGTTTGACAAATAATCGGAAAACAGTGAGTACAGAAAGTGGAAACCACTCCTCCACCCTGTAATATTTCTTCTCTCCCCTCCACCCATCTAAATGGGCCCACCCTTTGAGAAGCAGCTGAAATTCCACCTCAATCTGGAAGCTTTCTCCAGCCTGAAGTGATTGCTTCATCATTTGTAGGATGATCGAATTCAAAATGGCTTTGGCAGCGATGAGCTGACGGGAGTCAATAGTAAAGGAAGGAATGTAAAATGCTACCTTAGAAATGTATAGGTGGGGGGGCCCTGGCATCATGACAGTGGTTTTAGGTTTCTTCAATTTCAATATAAGCACCCTGCTTGACCTGTAGTTACTGAGGTGTAATGCCCACATCACATGGAGTTTGTGTGGGTTGTAGGCATTGAGGACTGTGTGTGTCCTGAATAGTAGAGTGTTCCAAGAGCAAGTCATAAGGGCAGAGGCTAAGAAGTTGAGGGTCTTTATCCTGGAGAAGCAATACACAGACAGCCCCATTCAAGCACTTAGAGCTCTGCCTAGTAGAAAAATAAGCTTGTTCTGTGTAATTCCAGGAGGTTCAAGCAAGATCAATTAATAGAAATTATGTGTGACCCAAAAATTTTAACCACAAGGACCACACACTGTTAAGTTTTCTTTAAGAGGTTGTGGAGGTGTTGAAGCAAAGCCTGATTAACTATGTCCCAGGGATGCTATAGCACAGGTATCTCCATTTAGAGGGAACCTATATGCCATGTCTAAGTCATAAAAAAAAAAATTCTGGGAATTTTTTACTCAAGGAGATTCCCTGCCTCTGTTGTTTCTAATATGCCCTTGTTCTGTGGATTAGAGAGTCTGGTCTTTCTTAATTATCTTTTTAAGTGTTTATGACTTAGCTCCGCAGCTGGACTGTAATGCTACCTAACAACAGGGACTGTGTATTGCCAATCTTTGTCACACAACAGTGTAAATGCTCAGTAAATGCTCATTGATTGCATGGCATAATACTCCATGCTTTGGCCCTTTCCACTGAGAGAGAAGAGATTGGGAGAGGGGTGACGAGTGACTGTCAGCCTTAGGAAACACAAATTGGATCCCCTCCTGCCCATCTTTTCTTGTCTCTCACTCTTCAGACATCTGCATGTGGATTGACATCTCCTACCTCCTTACCCAGCCCTTTGTGGAACTGTGCAAATGCCATAATAGTGAGAATTACAATAAGGCCTATGGTCCCCAGAGAATGCTTGCCAAGCTTCTCTACTCCTTGTGAGTGGATGGATGGATGGATGGATGGATGGATAGACAGATGGTGGATAGACAGATGGGTGGATAGATGGTCTGAGTTGAGTAATATCAATTAGATGCTTGAGTATCTTTACCCCTGCCCTGTTCACACAGTGCCATGTGTCCCAGTAGTCCAGGGCACATGGTGGCTTCCCAGTCTCAGGATGGATCTAAGGTCAATGTCTTCTGTAGGTGGGTTTCCTTAGATGCTCTGTCTCATCAGCCTGATACCAGCTAATAGGACCTTTGAAAAGCAGAGACTTACTTCTTCTCTTTCTTTCCAAACAGGGCCATCTTTGCAATGTCATCAGTCCCCTCTCTCACATTGCCTCACTAGAGGTTGCTCTGTCTTTGGGACCCTCACACCCATTCACTCTTGCCTCTTCTATCTCTCTAAGCCTAGGATGGAGCCCCATGGGGCACCAAAGAGAAGGTGACATGAAGACATCTGACCCCAAGGCTGTTTACATGGCTACTGAAACTACCAATAACAGTGTCAATGACAGTAGCTATAAGCAGGGGCCCAGTGCCAGGCTTCTGCCAGGGCTTTATGGGTGACTCTCTCTCCCTTCAACAAACACTCATTAGAGCCCCCACCTTCTTATTATCTATACTGTGCTAAAGGCATTGTGAAATCGCCAGGCTCTTCTTCCCCATCCTGGAACCAATTATAAAGATTAAAGATTGCTGCAGGCTTCACCCACCCAGACCAGACAGTATAAACTCAGGGCAGATGCCCTGGAGAAATCAGTCGGACCTTCCAGGCACCCAGGATTGCAGGTCAGTGGTTGATAGGCAGTACTCTGTCTCTCTTTCTCCTGTCCATATCTCTAATATGCCCCCTCCCTTAACTCCTCCTGGCAATCTCTCTAGATAACAAGGTATCTCCTCCATAGACATAGTAGGATGCTAAATAAGACTGAAGGCACAGAGAAAAAATTTGAGAGAAGGTATAGCTTAAGCCAAGTCAAGAGTTTTAAATATTTAGAACCATAGATTTTTAGAAAGTAAGTTCAGAAGAAATCAAGTAGGCCAGTGGTATTCAACACTATGTGGTGAGGCTTGGGGTTCTTTAGGTATGCCCCCGTGCCTGCTTCAGGGGTCAAGGACAGTGTTAGAAAACTTCTGGAATCACTATCATTCTCTGACTCAGCAAAAGCAAGTCCCTTTTATCCATTTTACTTTCATTAGGTTTCTGTGTAAATTTTCATTGTGAAATTTAGCTTTGAGCAATACTGGCCTTACCTAGTAGCCTCTCATCCTAATGATAACAAGTTGGAGGCCCAGGGACGAAAGGGGACTTTTTCCCCAAAAGGTGGCAAGATGAATTGGTATTAGAATTAGGTCTAGAACCTAACCTTGCCATTGAGACCTTCTGTGTGTGTTTCTCTGTCCTGCTTGTAAGCACACATGTGTGTCAGGGTGGTTGGAGGGAGCTACAAGCCACACTTCATGGATCAAGATATTGTTAACTTTTATAAGGGAAACAAATGTCTATATATAGTACAATACACAATACAGTGAGATTTAATAGGAGTTCAGTGTAGAGTTGCAGTAGTAAAGGAAAGATTCATTAAATGTTGAGTCATGGAATCACAAGTAGTTTGATCTAGAAAGAATCTTAATAAACACAGACTCTAATTCCATGATTTTATAGATTATGAAACTGAGAATTGGAGGTTAAGTGACACAACCTTGTATGTCTGAGCTGTTACTCTGACCTGATAATTAATTTAGCAGAGCCAGAGACTCACCCTGTAGATAAATGATACCATGTCCAGTGGCTCTAATGCCAAAAGATCTGAATGGATGGCAAGGAGGAGGGATGGCTTTTGAGGCAGGAAAATCAAAGACAACTTTGAGGATGCCCACTGGGAAGATGGGGAAGAGGTCATGTGCCTGGAGGGGTGGTTTAATGTCCACAGGGAAGTGAGGTACACTCATACAAGTGAATCAGGGCCAGATGGTGATGAAATGGGCAGCCATTGTAGACTCGAGGGCTGAGCAGGATGTTGTAAAAGTAGTACTTAGAATATAGGTCCAGGTACCTTACATAGGTTGGGCTGGATTGAAGGGAGAAAACCCAGGAATACAGGCACAGGTCTAATGGCTAGTAAGAAGACAAAGTTACATTTTGAAGAATAATTTATCAGAACTTGTTGGTAAATCAGATACAGAGTCAGAAAAAGTGGGGAGATGAATGGGGTGGGAGGAGGAGAAGATTGATTTGGCTTCAGATCTATTTGTTGGGTGTGATGGCAGGATGTCCAAAGGGAGGTGTCCTGTAGACTGTTGGAGATAAAGTAGGAGGTTCAGTCTGGGCTTGGGAGGCATCAGACCAAGATGATGTGGAAATGGATGCATTGCAACTCTGTGGGGCATGAGATAGAAGTGCTTAGGACTTAGATATGTGACTTCCAGCCTGAGGGATGCCCCCAAATGGAAGAGAGTGTCTACACAGACCTGAGAATGGGAAAATGGAAGTGTGAAGGGAGTCAGTCAATGTCAAGAGTTCTGAGGAGGCAGTACCCAAATATTAGAGGAATCAAAATAGTCTTTTGATTTGGCTCCACAGAGGTTAATATTGGTCTTGGAGAGAACATTGTTCACACAGAAAATGTGTAGGACAATGAGAAGAGGGTGTGATGGAGAAATGCCTAGAGCTACTTGGTGGTGGTTTTTGACTCAGGACAGGGGGATTGGTGAAATCTGAGACAACCAGAGATGGTGTCCAGGGAGGACTATAGGCCAAAGTCTAGTGAAAGGTCAATTGGGGACAATAGGGAAGGGAAAGCTTAGGGGATGGAGTGTGTGGTGCATTGGGAAGGACCATGACAGACTCAGCATCAGAACCCCAGGCTCTGTAATGGGATAGAAGCCAGCTTCTCACTCCTGTTTCCTTCATCACAGTCTAGCCACAGCTGAGGCAGGGGTGCCTGATATGGGAGTCTTTGGGAGAAATATTGGGATTTGGGATTGGGACAGGAGGCTTCTGGGGACCCAGGGGATCCAGCTGGGCTGGACAAGCGCTGAATTTCTGTCCGTCTCTTGCACTGACACTGACCAAGAGTGGGGGTCATCATCCTCACATGGAGCCCTCCATTTGATCTGCCCTGGCCAGGCCTTGGCAGAGCTACCAGGCTGCCCATATACAACAAAAGAAGCCCTGGTAGTTTGGATGAGAGAGAGCACAGCCTCAAGGGTGCTTGCATTGAGGCCACACTGCTGATGGCCTGTCTGGTCTGGGGGATCATCTATCTAGTCCTCTGCTACTCAACAGTGTGACCAGGGACCAGCAGTGTTAATATCATCTGGTTGCATGTTTGAAATGCACAGCCTCAGTTCCCCAGATCTAGGGAACCAGGAGTGGCAGGTGATTTACATGTTCACAGGAGAGAGAGAAACACCGAGATGCTTTACCAGTTCCCAAGCCTGGCTGATCATGGAGTCACTTGAAACCTTGGCAAATCAGAACCTTCAGCACAGGGAATAATGCTTATCTATAGTCCCCCGGGTGACTGGTGGGCAGGTGCGTTTGGGAGCCAGTGACTTTAGCTGATTTTAATTATTGAAAAAAATTAAAACTTACTTTATGCTACAAAGGAAAGTCATGTTCATATGGGGAAAGTGTTAAGAGAGCTTAAGAAAATATCACTCAGAATCCTGTCGGATGAAGATAACGGCATGGGCAGTCTTTGTTCCTACATGTGTCTCTCAGTGTATGTGGCTTTAAGTGAAATAATAATGTACACATTCTTTACAACCTGAATTTTCCACCTAACGTATTTGGAACATTTTGTATCATAAAATGTTCTTCTACAATATCATCTTCAAAGTACCTGTTTAGTGTACATGTTTCTTATTTACTTAATTTGCCATAATTTTTATTTTTTAGTTAAAATTTTTTTGATGTTTATTTATTTTTGAGACAGAGAGAGAGACAAGTGCAAGTGAGGGAGGGGCAGAGAGAGATTGGAAGACAGAATCTGAAGTAGCTCCAAGTTCTGAGGCATTAGCAGAGAGCCCGAGGCAGGGCCCAAACTCATGAACTGTGAGATCATGACCTGAGCCGAAATCAGATGTTTAGCTGACTGAGTCACTGAGGTGCCCTGGCATAATTTTCAAACCAATAACATGTTATTGGACATTTAGCTTATATCTGACCTCTCACTATTGTCTGAAATGATGTAGCGAACATAACTAAACATTTGGGCAACTCATTAACTTTCCCTTAGAATAAGGGCAACAGATGAAATTACAGAGTATGTAGAATACTTTAACACTTTGATTCATGTCACCAATATCCATCCAGAATCCTAGAGGTGCCCTGTTATTCTTTATTCTCACCAACACTTAAATGCCCGCTGCCAAGCCTAGAGGGTGGGAAATGACTTCTCCAAGGTGATCGTGTGACAAATCCAATACTAACACTGGGTCTTGGAGCTCAGAGCTGCTGGTATGGCTGAAAGCCCTATTGTCATCATTAACCTGTTCCTCCTCACCCACTTCTCAAAATTTCCCTCAGTGTCATTTTCCCTCCCTCCCTCTCTCTCTCTCTCTCTTTCTGAGCCTTGATTCTTTCTGCCCCACCTTTTCCTCTGTCCCCTCTTATCTTCTGCCATCTTCTTTCTTCTATTTTCTTTTCTTACTCCATGAGAATCAGATCTACTGCATACACCTCAGCCCCAACTACCCTTGCATTTACTTTTCTGGGCTATTTTTTAGTGGCTACCACCCTCATGCCCTGAATGGCTCTGGGATTTTTTCCATGTAGGTTCTGGAATGGTCTTTCTAAAGGTGGTCATTTTAGGGAAACACTCTAGGGGAGGACAATCCAACCAGAAGGAGCAGAGCTGTGTGAAGCTCTGTGATGTGGGATTAATAAGGGGACACAGGCTTCAGTTTAGATCACTCATCCTCAAGAACACAACTCTCTGTATCTCAGGGCCTGTCCCTAATTCCCATCTGGAGCATCATGCGGGAGTTTGGATGGTCTCTCTTTTACAATCTTGGGGAAACATTCTAGTGTCTGGAATGAGGCTTTCTAACTCTGCAGGGAGACCCTGCACGCTCCAGCAGCAAGCTGGAGATGGCCCCTGGGAGCGCTGCTATTCCCGCAGCCCTGGTAGGTGTGCTTTGACTCTCTAGCAAAGTGGGACAGGATTTGAGTTTAGCTCGTCCTCAACCTGTGTGGCTGGAACACACCCTACCCTAGTCTCAGCCCCAGGAAGCAGTCCTGGTTAAACTCTTTGGGGAACCTGTTCTTCAGTTTCCCCAAGCTGGCACCACACACATGTCACTGGCTCACACCCCTGCCAGATGACCCCAAAGCAGGGCAAAGCAGAGTCGCCTGGAGCTTGCTGAGCTGGGGAGACCGTAGTGGGTGGTGGCTTCTGGCAGGCCAGTTTTAGAGAAGCTGGCTTAGTGAGATCCTTTCACTTTGTGATTCAGTGATTTGGGGCCCTTCAGGGCATCTGCCCCCAGCTCCACCCTCCTTTCCTTCTCTTACGGCCTGTTTCTCTTCCCCCCTCAGCAAGGACCAGTCACCCACGATTGCAGGAATGTGCTCCCTGCCCATGGCAAGATACTACATGTAAGTTTCCCAGGAGTCCGCCCTTTCGGAACCAGAGGTCTAGGGATGACATGGGAAGAGGGTGGGAGGGCGGAAGGAGGGATGCGGCTCTTTCTCAAATGAGAAATCTCAAGTGCCCCCTAATTAAGTTTGATCATGAGCATGCTAGCAATAGCCCTCATCCCTGAACATCCTAGATGCCAGCCCTTTGACTGCCTTGCCTCCATCCTGAGTAATCTACAAGGAAAACATTCCTAAGTCCATACAGATATGGAAACCAAAGCTCGAAGAGGCTAAATCAATGACCTCATGTACCACAGAGCCAGGACCCACACTCTCTGTGTCACTCCAACCTCCTGCCTCCAGAAGCTTAGGGATAAGTTTGAATCTCAGCAACAGCATCTTCACACGTTGGTCTCGGTGGCCTTTGCTCCTGACATGCACTGCCAACTCTTATAGTTGCCTCGTTTGACATTTGAGACTTTACTTATAGCTTACACTTTATTGCTTGGAAACTACCACTGGAAACTACCTCCAGCCCTTTGAGGAATGAGGCCAGACATAATGCCAATGAAGCAGGACTGACTTCTGGGTTGTGTTTCTGCAGCTCCTGCATGGGTCTGCCCTGTCCTAGACATGAGGGGGCCAGTCAGGACCTCCAGGAAGTTATCATGTGGCTGGGAAGGCAAAACACCTAAATGACAAATTCACCCAAATGACAAAACAGATATTAGCACTTTGGGGTATCTAACTTGGGCTCTGGTCTCCAAATAGAATGTGGCCACTGGATGAATTACAGACAAGTCCTGGTCATCCAGGTAGGAGGGAGAATGCTGGTTGGCAAGCCCAGGCTCTTTTGAGATCTTTATTTTTATTGTACAAGTGAACCTACTTTAAACATATATAGTCATTAGCTAAGGGTATTATCATTAGCTGTTACTGAGAAAGAAAAATCTCCTGGAGGCAATGACATTGGCCCAGAGGAGGCAGGGAGAGCTCCCCAGGTCCTGAGAGTGGCTGACAGACATTTTGAAACCAGCCAAGCGACCGAGCTAATAACCTGTGTGACTGATGTTGCACACACTCATTGTGGTTTCCTCCCTGCTCCCCAGCACGTATTTACCCTCCCAAGGCCGTCATTGGAACCGCCGCCAACCCCAAATGTCTGTCATCATGCCTGTTCCATCTCTTTGCTGACCTCCTCAGTCTAGCACCTAAAATGTGGGCTACCTTGCATGGAACAGGGAAGCCATGTTGGCACACCTTCAGTCACATCAGATTTTTTTTCTGATTTGTGGATTTTATTCTATAAGAAGTCCCTTAAGATATCTGAAAAGCAGGGCCCCTGGGTGGCTCAGTCGGTTAAGTGTCCAACTTCAGCTCAGGTCATGATCTCACAGTTTATGGGTTCGAGTCCCCTGCATCGGGCTCTGTGCTGATAGCTCAGAGCCTGGAGCCCGTCTTCATGTTCTGTGTTTCCCTCTCTCTCTGTCCCTCCCCTGCTCACACTGTCTCTCTCTCCCTCAAAAATAAATAAAACATAAAAAATTTTTGAAAAGATATCTAAAAAGCAAACCACACTTGACTATATACTCAATTAATCCCTTCACTGAAGACAATAAACATTTATGTAAAATTGGGGCAGGCTCAGAAAATCTGGGATAAGGCTCACTATATCCCAGAGATATCTGAGCTTCATTAGGTGATTTCTCAGGACAAAAGACAAAAGGGCTGGCATAATCCGTCTACCCCTCAATGAGAATGCACTGGCTTTCCTCGGTACCCCAGGGCCCTGACAGAGCCCAGGCCTGGTAAAGGGAGCCTCGAAGAATCATGAGCCCCAGAAGACCTTCCCTTGCCTTAAGGCTGACCTGGTTTCACCTGTTCTTGGGTGGAGTCGTGCAACCACTTCTCACATGTGGAAGGGAGAAGAACACCTAAAGGCTCAGTGTGGTACTTTCAGAGTGTGGAGGTGGAAGGAATTTGGGGTTTGGCAGTGCCTGAAGGGAGCAGGCCATCAGTATGACTATCCTGTTCCAGAATTAAGGATGCTGATCAGAAGGCTCTATACCTAAAAGGCGACCAGCTCCTGGTAGGAGATCCCAGTGTGGACAACTGCTGTGCAGGTGAGCTTCTGGGCCTCCACCCCCTTGGACACACCCATGCTCCACCTGCCACAGGCTTTCCCCTTCCCTCCTGCCTCCGGTGACAGCAAGAAGAGGCAGGGAGCAGCTGAGGACCTTTCCTTCTGAGGGTGTCCTGATCACTGCAGAGGTCCTGGCCTGCCTGGCCCACATGCACGGGCCAGGCCAAGTGTGCCCTGGCCTAGGTCCTTTCTGCCTGGGCTTGGTCACTGAGAGCTTGCAGTCTGAAGTCCTCTCATCTCCTGGCTCTCTTCTCTCTTCGCTCCCAGAGAAGATCTGTATACTTCCCAACAGAGGCCTAGACCGCACCAAAGTCCCCATTTTCCTGGGAATGCAGGGAGGCAGTCGCTGCCTGGCCTGTGTGGAGACAGAAGAGGGGCCTTCCCTGCAGCTGGAGGTGAGAAACCACACCCTGTTCTAGGGGACCCTGCAGACATGGCTTCAAGTTTACTCTGGTATCTCTGCACCCATCTGCGAATTCCTGGCCAGGTCTGCACATTCCTCTCCTTCCCTCTGCTCTTAGCGCCCAGCCCCCTGCCCCCTCGAACCTGCAGAAGGTGGTTCCCCAGGTACAGAGCCTCCCCATGAAGTCCCTTATTGGCCACCCACTGGAGGCCTCTGGGGATGACAACTTTACCAGTAGCCTCATGCTGCAGCGGCCACCTTGCCCCCACAGGATGTGAACATCGAGGACCTGTACAAGGGTGGGGAGCAGGCCACACGCTTCACCTTCTTCCAGAGAAGCCTGGGCTCAGCCTTCAGGCTCGAGGCTGCTGCCTGGCCTGGCTGGTTTCTCTGTGGCCCATCTGAGCCCCAGCAACCTGTACGACTTGCCAAGGAAAGTGAGCCATTTCCCTGCACCGAGTTCTACTTTGAACAGAGTCGGTAGCCGAAGCAGGAGGCTGAGTTGCAGGCGGGTGCTTCCAAACCAGGCTCCCCCTTCTCAGGGTCAGTAATAGGCAGAGTAATGCCCCCCTAAAGATGTCCACGTCCTAATCCCCAGAATCTGTGAATACGTTACCTACAGGGCAAAAGCGACTTTGTAAAGTGATTAAGGTAAGGATCTTAAGATGGGAAGACCACTGGATAACCCCAGTGGGCCCGGTATACCCACAAGCGTCCTCATAAGAATGAGGCAGGATGGTAAGAGCCAGAGGCTGGAAGATGCTATGCTACTAATCTAATTTCGAATGTAGCGGACAAGACTATCAGCCAACGAATGTAGGTGGTTCCAGAAGCTGGAAAACCAAGGGAAAGATTCTCTCCTAGAGCTTCTGAGAGACCCACAGCTCTACTGACAACTGACTGTTAGTCCAGTGGAACCCATTTTAGACCTCTGATGTCCAGAACTGTAAAACAATAAATTTGTGTTCTTTAAGCCATTAAGTTTATGGAAATTTGTTATAGCAGCAATAGGAAAATAGAACAGGGCCCCAGTAGGCAGCTGTGTACAGTGTTTAATGCAAGGGGCGTGGGTAACACGGTGAGTTCTTGCAAGGCTGCCCACAGCTTCTCCTGCAGCCCATTTGCTCCAGAGCTCCTAGAAACAGCCAGACCCCAGCTCTCCCCTTCTGTCCATGGATGGACAATGCCTTGGGTTGCTCACAGTTGGAGTTTTAGTTCAGGTCTTATGATTTTCCTTTCAGATATTTCACAGTGAATTAATCATTCAACTGATCGGCAGCTCTGGTTGTCTGCTAGTTTTGATGTGTGAAAGGCAAGGAGGGGGAATGAGGGAGTGATGGAAGGCTGGAACCAGATGTGTTGAGTTTGGACTATGGTGGAGCTGAGGGGTTGGGGTACTTGCTCTGAACAGCAATACAGGACTGGGACTCAGCTGAGTGGTTGCAGCTTGGACTGACCCTCTTCCTCAGAGACTGAATCCCTTTCCATTTCACAGTCTGTGGTCTGGCACAGGCCAGAGTGGAGAGTCCATGAGGTCCGTGCTCAGAGCGGCAGGCTGCTCGCTCTCTTCCTCTTTGTGTAACCGCTCCGCATCCATTGCACCAGGGTGCAGGGCACTTAAGGACAGTCTGTCTTCACCCTTAGAACCACCCTGCAAGGCAAGTGTTTTTACCCATTTGACAGGTGAGGACCCTGAACTAGAAGCGATGAAATACCATGCTGAAGGTCACGTAAGCCATACATGATGGAACTCAAGGTCAACCTGGCCCACCTGACCGCAGTGCTGTTCCACACATTTTTATTCCACTCTTATTCTGGGAGTTGGGGACAGGATGACAAACAAGCACAAGCTTCCTTAGAACTGATAACGAAGTAGGAGAAATACTACACAGGCAGGTAATCAAAGAAAGAAACATACAAGAGCAGTTTACATCAGAGGGTGAGCGCGGTAGGAATAGAATGATGATGACGTTGGAGAAGGTGATCACGTGAAGCAACTCTGTCTTTCTGAGGACAGCCTCTGGCATCTGAGCCGAGACTGAAGGACAGGAGTGAGTGGGAGGGGTGTGATGAGGCAGAGGTATAGCAAGTATGTGGGCTCTGAGACAGAAGGGGCTTGGTGTGTCCAAACAGCAGTGGGAAACAGGGGTGTTGGAGCCTGGAGAATAAGGAAGGGTTGGGAGGTGAGCCAGACCAGCAGGGGCTGGGTCATGGGGGCTTTAAAGGCAAAGCAAGGGCTTCAGTTTATCTTTAAGGGCAAAGGGAAGTGATGGGAAGGGTTTTAGCAGAGGAGAGGCATGCTGGCCATTGATTCTTCTCCTGCCTCTCCATGGCCTGCATATGCCCTGATTACTTTACCCTCTTGCTTTCACGTCCTAACTATGTGTTTATGTGCTGAGACTACTCCTTGCTTTTTGAGGGCCTGTTCTGTTCAATTTTGAGTCACCAGTACCCAGAGTAGCTACTGGAACACCAAAGGTGCTGAAGAAGTACAAAGTCTTGAACAGATTAGTGGATGATCACTGGCCAGGTATTAAGACTTGGGTCTTGTCGATTGATCGTTCAGGATACAGTGTAAGGAGAGCCATGGTAGCAAGGCAATGGTCCCCATTGTAGCACAGAGGCAGGGCTGGCAGAGGGGGCTAGACAGGGTTTCAAAAAGGAAAGGGCACTTAGTCTGGGCCTCAGAGAAAGAGTAGTTTTCCAGGCAGAGAGTGTGGGCATGGGCATTTTTAGGCAGAGAGAACAACTCGGGGAGGTGTGATGAAGAGAAGCTGCTAGCATTTGCGGGGGGGCAGGGCGTGGTGAGCCGTCACTGTGCTGGGCCCCAGAGCTTCTGGCTGAGGAATTGCTGAGGATTAAGAGGGGAAGATAGGCGAGGCCTGACTATGAATGCCTTGTGAAGAAGGTGAGGAGGTGACACTTTATCCCAGAGGCCTGGAGGAATCATCCAAGTATTTCAAGTAGGACCTGGATTTTCCGCCTGGGCGCCTGAGGTCAGCACTGGCCCAGCCCAGCTGCTACAAGGGTTTCAGCTCCTCCAGCTTCCTTCTTTTCGCTCCCCATGGCCCCACCTGCCTTCTGTCTGGCGCTACCCTGGGATCAGCTTCGGTGCTTTGGTTCCAAGGTTTGGCTAGCCCGTCACCTCCCCATGCCCGCTCACCTCTTTCACTAGTGGTAACTCAACTTGATCCTACTTGGAGCAGGGCTCACGAATGGGAGGGAGACTGGGCATGCCTGGGTAGCCATGGGCACACTTCACAAGAGAATGGTAGATTGGAAAGAGTTCTCTCTTTAAGTAAGAAAAAACATTTTGAGCTTCTAATATATCCCAAATCTGTATCAGTGCATAGGAGACGAAGAGGGCACAAGAGATGTAGGAGACACAGTCCCTACCCTTTAAAGACACACAGTGTAGATGGGGAACCCAGACATTAGCAATAAAAGCCAACCTGTACTGATTGCTTTCTACGGAACGACTAGAAGACACTAGAAATAGCACTCAGGGAACCTGGGACTGAAATTCTGCAGGGCTCTGTCAGGAATAATGAAGGGATGTTCCAGCCTTGGGGATTGAAGACTAAGAACTGGAAGCAACTTCTGATAGATACAGTTCAGAGATGCCAGGAACGTTCTTCCTCCACCTCCCAAGTCTTGTGTTTTAAAATTCCTCCTCCTCCCTGGAGACCACACCAAAGGCTTCATTCCAAAACCAGCCCATCAGAGCTATTACTGTATAAATTTCTGGGAGGGGCACACTTTCAGGTTCATCCTCTATTTATATCTGAGGGTGAACTGGTAGTTGGGAGCCGGGGACTAGTAAACAAGCGACTGGAGAACAGTGTAGTAACCTCTCATTCAGGTAGCACCAGGGAGCTGGGCTGGTGGGGAGGGGAAGTGGTCCCATCGAAGGGGGCCAGGAGAGGATTTAGAGGAAGTGAGGCATGCATGGGGACCAGCTGGAGGGTGGGTGGGGGGAGTCAGGGGGGCAGGTCAGGATGGTGCAGGCAGAGGGGACAGTCACATGTGTGTGTTAGTGAGCACATGTATATGCGTGCTCACAAGCATGCATGTGTGCACATGTATGTATGACATGCACATGTGTGAACCAGTGTCCGCATGCTTGCATGTGTGTTGTGCATCTGCGTGAACGTCTGCGTGAGTGTGTGTGTTCTGTGTTTGTCCACGAGAGGACATAGGCAGCCGTTGAGACCTAGAGAGCCTTGTCTTTATTCCAGGAAGCCTGGAGAACTTTATACAAGAGCCTGATGTGTTCAGGGTCTCCTGTACACAGGATTCAAGATCTGGTCACACTTACTTTTGACCCGAATTTTCATCTCACGATCCCACTCCTGCACTTTGTTGTAGCCTCTACAAACACTGGGTTAAAACACTGGACACAAACTCCACAGGCTACATGAGAGATGGCAGTGGTAGGGAGGACTAAACCTGGATTCAGGGAGGAAAATAAAAGTGAGGAAGAAACTCTAATGGGAGTCAGATTTTCCTGGAAAATTCTGCTAAACTATACGGCCACTTCATAAATGAGCATGACAGAAATCAACAAAATGAGTGTAAACAGAAAAGTCAACGTCTTAGACAGAAGCGCTGGCATTTGAGTTATTTGACAACATTGCCAGTTGGATTCTACATTTGCGTAACTAATAGCGCTCACTAGTGATTATGCCAGAACAAAGTCTATCTATCCTTAAAGCAAATTCTGATCTCTGCCCCTAAAAGGCGCAAATTCACAACCATCCGGGATCCAGTCCCCGCAGCCCATTTCTGAGGCCAGCAACTTGCAATGGGGCCTTTGGGCTGCAGGTGGCGACAAAGATCAGCCTTTCTCACTGCCTATTTGGGGCTATGAGCTATTACATTTAATTCCTCTTATATTTAGTGTCCACAGTGTGTCAGTCCCTGTGCACCAAATCTCTGCCTTACTTACAATAGATGCATCCTTCTCAAATGGTGTATGAGGGCAGACACAAATCATGTGGAGACTTTATGAAGCTCTGCCTGCTCCTTTCTGACAAGTTTCTAGCACCTTCATGATGCTCTAGGAACTTGGAACCTAGGAAGGAAGAAAGATATTAAACACATACTCACTTTTACTCTGTGTACATATGTGAAGCACCAAAACATGTACACCTGATCCCTTCTCCCAGTGACAGAGATGCTGCAGTGAATCATCCTTTCCCATACTCGTCCCCTCTCCAACCGCCTGGGAAATGCTTGCCCAGGCCTTGGTCCTAGAAGTAGAGTGGTATAGGAGGCTGGAAGCCTGGAGTTTTGGGAGAGGCTCTTCAGCCTCTTCCACTGACATTTTCTGAAGGCCCATAGCCACAGGACCTAAAGTACCAAAAAAACAAAAACAGAAAACAAAACCAAAAAGCCCAGTCACATGACTCTGTCTACTCAGAAGACTGGAGACTTAGGTCTCTCCTAGATAAGTACACTCCAGACTTCTTCCGGGCAACATTATTCCAATGCATGTTCATGGGTTTATGGGGAAAATGGGTTATTGTGATGGTTAATTTCATGCCCCAACCTGACTGAGCTAAGGAATACCCAGATAGCTGGTGAAACATTATTTCTGGGAGTGTCTGTGTGAGTGTTTCTGGAAGAGATCAGCATTTGAATCCGTAGGATGAGTAAAGAAGATGGCCTTCACTAGTGTGGGCAGGCTCCATCCAGTCCACTGAGGGCCCTAGTAGAACAAGAAGGCAGAGGAAGGGTGATTTCTCTCTCTCTCTCTCTCTCTCTCTCTTTGGGCTGGGATATCCATCTTCTCCAACCCATGGACATTG